ACACTTACATAAGTTGTTGCCGACTATCTCTAACAAAAAAAAATCAATATGATGTTTTATTACTATGTTCATTTAATCCTGTAAATAGATGAGTAAAATCTTTTTTCTATGAATAACTATTAGCAAGTGGCAAAACTTTTTAACTGCCTTATGTAAAAGTATGTTTGCACTGTGGAACACTCTAGATTTTGGAAACTTTCAGAGTCCAAACATACTTGTTTTCGTTTTCGCATTTATCCCGATGGGAGATTTCTTTTTTCTAGCCAATTCTCATATCAATCGATAAATATTGACGAGCTCTCTCCGACGCTACTATGCATATCGTGTCATAATGTCTTTGCTAGAAGCTACATGGCGCCTAGAATTGCTGTTGTTACTAATTATAGGCGAAGACACGTGTATTTTATCGCCTTCACTCGCATTATTTGTGTTGAGTAAGTCACCAAAGATTTTTATTTTCGTTTTCTAAATTATTTGTTAAGATTTTCTTCATCATTTTGTGAAAAAATAGAAAATAGCAGGAAGTGCGAATTGCAAGATACCACAATAAATTGAATAGGGGAAAACTAGCCGTAAGTACAAGTAAACAATGAGAAAATGATGCACATACTACCGCAAGCAGCACCGTTTCGATCTTCTTTTTAACCGACCTGAGTATTAAACTTTAATCTAACTTACCAATTGTCGTCTTAATGTTGGCATAAATCTGACAAGTTTAAGTACACGTAATAATCTAAATGTACGTAAAACAGATAATCCACTATGTTTTGTTTCATATAACTTAATAAGACTAATTAAAACAATTCCACCATCAAATATATTAAATAGATTGTTAATATATTTTAAATAACCTTCCGAAATTATTTTAAATAACATTTCAATTGTAAATAATACTATAAAAACATAATTGCTATATTCTAATACATTTGTTAATGATTGTGGTTGTCCATGACATTCAATAGACATTGACAGTGTAGTTATAATAATAGTTGAGAAAATAATGCGATCAAAATATTTACTAGCAACAACACGTGAAATTAACTTTCGTATTATTGTAAAACATGAACAACAACAGCAACAATAAATTTCACATTTTTGACGAAATTTTGGTTTTTCTTCTTCTTCTTCTTCTCGATTATTGTCGGATATATTAAGAGTTTCATCTTGATAATAACAATCACATATATCATTTCTTTCTATTTGTTGTTCTTGTCGTTCAAATTCAAGATTTTCATTGTTTCGTCGACTTTTATCAATAAGTAAATTATTATTTGCTGATGTTGAAGCATTTACGTTTAGACCAATGTCATCATTACTAGTGCCACGGTCAATCGATTCTAATAATGGTGTTGATATTAATAATGATTGAGATTGATGATATCGACAACCTGATCGATGTTTTTGATTAATTAGTGGAATTGACGAGACTATATTGACATTAGATAAAGATAATGCATTTCGTGTTAATACCTTTTTTCTTGTTGTTGCTTTTCGGTCATGTCTTTAATTAAACTTTGAAAGGACAATTATTTAATTTTATTTCTTTTATACGTACAGATATTAATCAAAGCCAAATGGTTTTTGAAATTGTTCAAAATTTTTTCGATAGCATTACTTTTCGACAATCGATACTAGAGGCCGAAAGCGAACCAAACTGTATCCAAACAGAACAGAACTGAAAACCGACTTTTTCGGTTCATTTCGATCTTTCATCGATAACCTTGAAATGGTTTTCTAATCGATATGATTACGGATCCAATAGTCAATCAACGGCAGTAGAAGAGAAAGGCGTCCTCTAATTAATGTTAAGAAACAGTAGACTTTTGAGATGCGAACGAATGGAATTTGAAGTTATCTCTCAGGTGAACATTTCTTCTGGTCTTTTTATTCTGCATCTATATGATAGAAATATTCGGTACTCGTTTTATGGAAGTTTAACAAATACTTAAATTCATATTGCAAAATTATTCTTCAAATAATCCGATTGATTGATCTTTAATTGACTGACTAGGACTTATTCTTTGGAAACTAGCATTTCAATCTTCCCCTATTATTCTGAATCATTTATATGCATGTTTTGATAATCGTTCAAAATATTTAATTATTCCTTCCCAACAAGAATCTTGTTGATCACTTGTTACGGTAGTTGTTGAACGTGAAAAACGGTTTTGTTCAGCTAACATTCGTTCTATTTCACGTTTTTTTTGTTACGCTAAACTGTGTAGAAATAACAACCAGACAAAGATTCATCATAACAAAAGAACCAATAATAATAAGACATACAAAATAAATCCAATCCCAAAATGAATGTGCATCTTGTATAATGCTAAACCAATATTATCGAAACTAATCGATCCAGAAAATGGATTTTTATCAGAAATAGCACATAATTGATAGTATTGATTCTAATTAATACATCCATTTATTGCTTTATTTGTTAATGATGAACTCAATGTATGAAAATCAAGTTCACATGCCATATTATCCTGACGAAATGATGGAATATCTGAACATTTTGTCATTCTATTTGATGATGGGTAAGAACACATAAATGAATCTTGATCAGGAGGAATATAAAAAGGTCGGAAAGGGAAATCACTTAAAAAAGAATTTAATAAACGATATATTGAGTTTGCATTAAACATACTCGAATATTGCGTAATTATCTATACTTGTAGCACTCAGATGTAAAAAAAAATGATTGCGTAATAATCCTTTCCATAATTGTACACCAATAACAACAAAGATAAAAAGAGATAAAAAGAAACAGAGAAGAAGTACATTGCCAAGCATAGGTAATGTATCGAGTAGAAGCATAACAAGAATACGCATTGATGATACACGATGAATGACATCTAATGGACGAAGTATCCGAACTGTACGAATAGCTGATAGACTTAAATGATCACCTGGTATAAATAATTCCGGTAATCTAAACGCTAATAGTTAACAACTTTTCATTCTCATGTTTACGGTTTATTATCTCTTATCAATACGCAATATTCACTAAAAAAAGTCGATCTTGCCGTAAAAATTATTTTCGATGTATCGAGATAAAACATTAACATTGGAAACTGAAAGAATATTTTAGAAAGAATTGTAAAAGGTCCTTGACAGCGTTAACTTTCAAAATGTCTTTTATTAATGATTGTTGAAAAAATTCATGTATTGAGGGTTCTCAAATGACTTCAAATAAACTGAAACTTTTTTAAAGTCTTGCATAAAAAATGTTTGTCGCTTCATGAATCTGGTAATTTGAATAAAATATTTGATGAACCACGTTCATTAGGAAAACGATCAGTTTCACCTATATGTGAATTATCATTTGAGATATTAATAGCTGTTGGTAATGATGTATGAAAAATGTTTTTATTTATCATATTATTATTATTATTTAGGTGTGAGTGTGTGAATAGAAGACTAATACCTACACACCCACTCCACATCCATACAATTTTCATTCATAATTTCTTCGATTTAATCGAAGTGAATATGAACAATTTTGAGATCGATCAAGTGATGACATTGCGATAATAGTACTCCGTAGTTTTAAATATGTTTTCATTAATCCGTTTATTTCAAAAAATAAGTTTATTTACAAACAAAATTAATAAGACTTGATTTCAACAATACGTTTCCTTTTTCTTGAATTTGTTCTTGATGATATACAATTGTTGCTTATACATGGTTTGTTTGATGACGTCGACAATAACAACAACATCTGATGAAAATTATGAAAACAAGTAAGAAAAACAGAAATAAGATGGTTCTGTTATTGATCCGCTCATACAGCGACTACCAATCTTAATCATAACTAAAATGTCTTTGGATAAGTATATTCTTCAAGTTATTAATATCCCTGAATGAATATCAACTGTGATGGATCATTATTTCGTCCACTTTGCATTTACATTATTCTTTTTTTCTCTCTAGAAACAATAGGAAAAAACAGAACAGACGAGAAACATTTCTTATCAGACGTATTTATTGAAAGAAAAAGAAAGAAGGGGTGATGATATGAATTGCGACAAAAGTTTCTCAATCGATTGATACTTTCGTTTCACGTATATCAAATGAGTTCTAAATGTTATTAAAAAGTCTGACAAGAAAGATATCTCAAAGATTCAACTATGTTCTAATTAATTTTCAACTACTTCAAAGAAGCTGAAGATGATGATAGTAAGGGTGTGGGTGTGGGTGTGGAATTAGGATATTGGTGCGTATGCAAAGGGAAGCAACACACCCATACCTACAGTCTCATTTACATCCACAGCCAGACCAACACTCACCGACACCACAAACCCGTAGCCACACCCTACCCACACCCACACACCCACACCCTCACCCACACCCACCCACGTTTACCATGGATTCACCCACTGTATATTTTCTCAATGCGTTAATATTAACAAAGTATCTCGTTTCTAATGTGAAAAATGTCTGATTCCATGCTAGTATCATGCAAATTTAAATAAAAGCTCAGGTCGTAGTAAAAGTAATGCTGCAAGAAAATCAAGTCTGTTTCAACAGCAAACTTGTGTACCCTTGAAGACAACTAAATATAAACTGCTGCCTTTCTAGCAAGTGTATTAAATAATGCCTTAAAATAAGAGTACAAAAAAACAAACTCTTCAACTCAGTGAAAAAATATTATCTATGTTGCTCATTGATTAACGTATATCAGGCGTGACGCACTATAAAAAAAGTTCTTATTATTTATTGCAATAGTGACATGTATTTCAACGAATCACTTGTCTCACCAGCAGTAACAGTTTTTTATTTGTAATATACAGGGCAAATTACAATCTCAGCAGTTGAATTCTAAAAATGAATTACTATGATTTTCTCCTAATTAAATCAAAGCTTCAAATAGTCCGCCTGATTCATTTTAATAACACAATTCACCGGGTGCCAACTAACCTATGAACATCTTCAGAAGAGCACTACACTTCTTAAAAATCGATAAGACAGATTTTAAATTGAAAATTCATATCATCATAATTTTGAATGCATAAAAACAAAATTCCACCCACACTCTCAAACATTATCAACATCTAGAAATTCACCTTTCACTCATACGAACTAATCGTAAAGAATTGAAATACACACTCTTTTTTTCCACTGAACTCATTTAAACACCAAGTATCAACAAAAAAAGGAAAGTTCAATGTCTTCCGGCTTCCACTTCAAGAAAATCAAAATATTTTATTCCCATTTTGAGATAAAATACAGCATGCAAAATAAACAAAGAAAACACAAATTCAATTCAAAATTTTAGTTCCTCAATTAGGCATATTTCACACCAATGTTCACTAGTTTTTCCCTTCATTATTTCGTTTTATCAATTCGTCCTAACGAGTTTTAAGTTTATCTCCGATTTGACTGTTGTAGAGCTGTATTGTGGTGAGTGTCTGTGTTAAAAAGTGCAGATGCGTATATGAGAGAGATGAAGATAGAATGAGGATCACCGTGCTGCTGTGTAATGCATCTGCCAGATGTTGTGCTCCTTTGTCTCTGATTTGATTGGCTCGGAAATCTAGTGTAGTGAGCGTCTGTGTGAAAAAGTACAGATGGGTATATGAGAGAGATAAAGATAGAATGAGGGTCACCGTGTTGTTGCGTAATGCATTCCTCAGATGTTGTGCTCCTTTGTCTCCGATTTGATTGCGTTGGAGATCTAGTGTGGTCAGTGTCTGTGTGAAAAAGTGCAGATGTGTATATGGAAGAGATGAAGATAGAATGAGGGTCACCGTGTTGTTGCGTAATGCATCCGCCAGATGTTGTGCTCCGACAGCTCCGATTTGATTGTTTTCCAGATATAGTGTGGTGAGTGTCTGTGTGAAAAAGTGCAGATGTGTATATGACAGAGATGAAGTTAGAATGAGGGCCACCGTGTTGTTGAGTAATGCATTCGCCAGATATTGTGCTCCTTTGTCTCCGATTTGATTCTGTCTGAGATATAGTGTGGTGAGTGTCTGTGTGAAAACGTGCAGATGTGTATATGAGAGAGATAAAGATAGAATGAGGGTCACCGTGTTGTTGCGTAATGCATCCGCCAGATGTTGTGCTCCTTTGTCTCCGATTTGATTGTAGTGGAGATCTAGTCTGGTGAGAGTCTGTGTGAATAAGTGCAGATGTGTATATGAGAGAGATGAAGATAGAATGAGGGTCACCGTGTTGTTGCGTAATGCATCCGCCAGATGTTGTGCTCCGACAGCTCCGATTTGATTGTTGTAGAGATCTAGTCTGGTGAGTGTCTGTGTGAAAAAGTGTAGATGTGGATATGAGAGAGATAAAGATAGAATGAGGGTCACCGTGTTGTTGCGTAATGCATCCGCCAGATGTTGTGCTCCGACAGCTCCGATTTGATTGCGTTGGAGATCTAGTGTAGTGAGTGTCTGTGTGAAAAAGTGCAGATGTGTATATGGAAGAGATGAAGATAGAATGAGGGTCACCGTATTGTTGTGTAATGCATCCGCCAGATGTTGTGCTCCTTCGTCTCCGATTTCATTGCATTGGAGATCTAGTGTGGTGAGTGTCTGTGTGAAAAAGTGTAGATGTGTATATGAGAGAGATGAAGATAGAATGAGGGTCACCGTGTTGTTGAGTAATGCATTCACCAGATGTTGTGCTCCTTTGTCTTCGATTTTATTGTCCCCGAGATGTAGTGTGGTGAGTGTCTGTGTGAAAAAGTGCAGATGTGTATATGAGAGAGATGAAGATAGAATGAGGATCACCGTGTTGTTGCGTAATGCATCCGCCAGATGTTGTGCTCCAACAGCTCCGATTTGATTGTATCTGAGAGATAGCGTGGTGAGTGTCTGTGTGAAAAGTGCAGATGTGTATATGAGGGAGATGAAGGTAGGNGATACAAAGCTGAATGCTGATTCTTAGAAGAATAAAATTGAGTTCGGACTTTTCAGATGCATATACCGTAGTAAGACACATCTCCTTTATTAGAACACGCAGATTTTCTCTAATTTATAGAGTAGGTTCAACTTTTTTGAAACCTCAGAATCTTTCAAAATCTTTCAAAATCTTTTAAAATCTCTTAAAATCTCTCAAAATCTTTTAAAATCTTTTAAAATTTTTTAAAATCTTAAAATCTTAAAATCTGCTTTTTCCCCCCTGGGTGAGGCTATACTGCCAAGAGTAAAGTGGATCTAAGTAATTCGCGTAACTTCTATTGACGAAGTACGGTTATCCGGGTGATCCGAATGCAAACGACAGAATGTTGGTGACTAGCTAAAGTCTATTCATGGTCAAATCAAAGTGAGGTGCTAGGCTAGTATTCTAGTATATCTTGTCTCTGAAAAACTGAGAAAAGTCATTATGTTCGTAACAATGTCCCGGTATATTCTTTTACTTCTCTTGATTTTTTCGTTACGATCTGCCGTACGCAACTGTTTAAAAACGTCTGTCCTATAACCGTAACAAAATTCATTTACGAATTCCTGTCAAAATTTAAAAAAAACTTGTTCATTTACGGACACCTACGAAAAATCTTGAAAAACAAATTTCATTTACAAACATCCGGACCCCTTGTCAGATGTTCGTAACAACTGACACGAAACATAGTTCACCCAAGACGGAGAAGCAGCAAAATTGAGGTTACTTCGTTAACTTGCAGAGCATTGGCAAGATCTTGTGCTCCTTTTGGTCCGATTTTATTAGCATCGAGGTCTAGTGTGGTGAGTGTCTGTGTGAAAAGTGGAAGAATGATGAATATATGAGAAGGAGACGAAGCCAAATTGATGTTACTTTGTTGACTTGAAGCGCATTGGCAAGATCTCGTGCTCCTTGGTCGCCGATTTCATTATGGCCGAGGTGTAGTGTGGTCAGTGTCTGTATGAACAGTGAGAGAACGATAAATAGATTAGAAGGAGAAGAAATAAGATTGACATTACTTTGTTCACTTCAACAGCATTGGCAAGATCTTGCGCTCCTTCTGGTCCGATTTCATTGGCATCGAGGTGTAGTATGATGAGTGTCTGTGCGAAAAGTGGGCCAATGATGAACAGATGAGAAGGAGAAGAAGCAAGCTTTGTTGTTACTTCGTTAACTTGAACAGCATTGGCAAGATCTCGTGCTCCTTGGTCGCGGATTTTATTGTGGTCAAGGTGTAGTGTAGTGAGCGTCTGTGTGAAAAGGGTGAAAATGATGAAAAGATAAGACGGAGAAGAAACAAAATTGATATTACGTCGTTAACTTGAAGAGCATTGGCAAGATCTTGTGCTCCTTGTGGTCCGATTTCCTTCTCGCTGAGGTGTAGTGTGGTGAGTGCCTGTGTGAAAAGTGTGCGAATGATGAATAGATGAGAACGAGAAGAAGTAAGACTGCTGTTACTTTGTTGAGTCGAAATGCATTGGCAAGATCTTGTGCTCGTTGTGGTTCGATTTCATTGCATTTCAGGTGTAGTGTGGTGAGTGTCTGTGTAAAAATTGTGCGAATGATGAATAGATGAGACGGAGAACAAGTAACATTCAGGATACTTTATTGACTCGGCGAGCATTGGCAAGATCTTGTGCTCCCTTTGGTCCGATTTTATTGGCGTCGAGGTCTAGTGTGACGAGTGTCTGTGTGAAAAGTGTGAGAATCAGAAGTGGATGAGAAGGAGAACAAGCAAGATTGATGTTACTTTGTTGACTTGAAGAGCATTGGCAAGATCTCGTGCTCCTTCGTCGCGGATTTGATTGTGGTCAAGGTGTAGTGTGGTGAGTGTCTGTGTGAAAAGTGTGCAAATGATGAGTGGATGAGAAGGACAAGAAGCAAGATTGATGTTACTTTGTTGACTTGAAGACCTTTGGCAAGATCTCGTGCTCCTTGATCGCGGATTCCATTGTGTCCAAGGTGTAGTGTGCTGAGTGTCTGGGTGAAAATTGTGCGAATGATGCATAGATGTGACGG